CGCCCCTCGCGTCGCTGTACCGCCCTTCCCCCTGCACCTTCCCCTGCACCCTCCTCCCCCCTGCACTGCCCCTTCCCCCTGCACCCTCCTCTCCCTGCACCGGCCCTCCCCCCTGCACCGGCCCCCTTCCGCCCCGCCCCTGTGTGGACTCCGGGGGCGGGGCTGCAGGGAGGGAAAGGTGGGCTGGAATAGTGGTAACTTTGTAAGCGAAATCTTTTGTCTCCCCACCCCACCCCCACGGCCCTGCGTAGGGGTTTTAAGAGGCACCAGGAGAATTTGAAGTTAGGCATTTGATTGACGTTAAAGGCATCCTACTGGCGCAGTGCTTAAAGCGTTCGGATGCTAACCGAAAGGGCAACGTTTGAATCCATGGGAGAAAGATGAGGCAGTCTGCTTCTGTAAAGATTTTTTTTAAAAAATAAGAAACCACCAAAGTCACTGCCCTCTAGTCAATTCCGACTCATAGCGGCCACCTTTTGGTTTCCCCCGAGGCAATAAATCTTTACAGAGGTAGATTGCCCAGTCTTCCTTCCACGGAGTGGCTGGTGGGTTTGAACCACCAACTTTCTGGTTAGCAGTCAAATGGTCTTAGGCACTATGCCACCAGAGCTCCTTTCTGTAAAGATTACAGCCTTGGAAACCTTGTGAGGTAGTTCTATTCTGCCCTTATAGGGTCACTATGAGTCGGAATCTACTGTCAGCAATGGTTTTGGTTGTTGTGGTTGATTCAACATTAAGAGACAGGCTAATTTACAACCCACGGTTTTATTGGAAGTTTCGTCACATTTTATGGAACATCTACCCAACTCCATCCTTGCAGTAATTAGCATTATCCTGAAATAGCAAAAACCGTTTATTATGTGCGAGCCAGCACTGAGATCCTGGGCTCCTCCCAAGTGCTCGCGACCTGCCAGACCGAGGCAGCCCTGAGATCTGGTTAGTGGTGGTGATGGTCAGGTGTGCAAACCTACAGAGTAAGGAGCACTCCAGGTGGCTCGTGTAGACATTCACTCACAAATCACTTGTGGAGCTTGTTATACTGTCTATACTAGTTCAGTCTGTCTGGGGTGGAAGTGCACATTCTTAGCAGGGGTTCGAAGTGGAATGAACTGGTTAGAGGTCCTGGTTTTCAGATTTACTTCAGGGAGGTAGGTTCAGAGCCTGGTTTTATCCATGCCACTGTTTCTGATTCTTTGAAGCGATCCTAGTGTCAGCTGTGTCCAGAACGTTCATTCTCTTCGTGTCAGTGTCCACGTCAGTGTGCTGGACTGCTTCCTATCAGTGGAAAGTTGAAGAACCTCTTCTCCCTGGCTCTCCCCTATTCACCTTACCTGTTTATTATATATGGACTCTGCATGTGCTGGCCTTGACCTTGGGAGGCAGAAAAACCCAAAAAAACAAACCCATTGCTGTTGAGTCGATTCTCACAGTGGCCCTATAGGACACAGAAGGGCTGCCCATAGGATTTCCAAGGCTGTGACTCTTACAGAAACAGACTGCCACGTCTTTTTCTGGCTGAGCAGCTGGTGGTTTCAAACCACCAACTTTCAGTTAGTGAATTGATGGTCTCATGGGAAATGTCACCCACGATGCAGTGCCTCCCTAACATGCTTCAGAAAAGGGAATGTTCCCTCTGTTTTTTGTTTTAAAATGGGTCTGCACTGTCTGGGAATCTTGGCCACTGTTACCTGTTGCATCATGGCGTACAGTCTTTATAACAGTCTTTGCTTTCTTGACAGACCTCAAGCGAGACATGGCCGAGAGCCCCATGTGGGAGCACATCGGGACAAGCTTTGTGCACCTGTATTACCATCACTTTGATGCCGACAGGGCACAGCTGAGCACACTCTACGTGGGTACCAACTGGAGTACAACGCATGTGTTCCTCTCACCGTTGACAGGCACTAATCATGCATTTGACTTGGGTTTGTGGCTGTGGTGAACTTGATCATGTCATGGGACACGTTCTTATCACATGAGATAGCATCACACTCGCTAAATGCCACGCGTCCTTTAGTTTTCAGTTTGGGAAAATTTTAAGTCCTACCTGTGCTTGTGTGGATCTTGCACTCTTCTACGGGAACAAGGGAGTGGGGTTTCCTTGTCAATACTGGTATTCCTGTCTCAGGAACACAGAATTTGAGATGTCTAATGAAGTAAGTAGGATGCAAGGATATGCTGATTAACCATTTTCCTTTAAAGGGTAACTCTGGTTAACTTGATTTAAAAAACTCTCACATGTTGGCATCCCGCACCCAGTCATTGAAGTAAGTCCATGGGATAAAGGTCTCTCGTGCACTGGAAATAGGAATAGAAAAGCACGTTTGTGCCCTGTCCCTTGTAGTCAATTCTATGTGCTGGGATTGCTGGTCACCCCAGAGCTCTCAGGTGGTGATAGCTAGAGTCCTGCAATGCCTGGTACTTTGTTCAAGACATTGATTATTAAAGGTTTCTGCTCCTTGGTACTTCTGAAACCATCTCCTGCCTAAATGAGAAAACAGGAGGGGAAACTGTTTGCAACTTGAATTCCTTATCCTGAATACATTTTTAAAACTCCCTGTTCTAGCCAGGTCTGGTATACCATGGGGTCACTATCCTCTTCAGAATTCTACTTCACTTTCTGCATCATGGTTTTTTATTCTTAAGACCAAAACACTCACCATCCGACCAAACCCACTACCATCAAGTTGATTCTGACTCAGCAACCTTATAGGATAGGGTAGAACTGCCTCATAGGATCGCCAAAGCTTCAATCTTTATGGAAGCAGATTACCACATGTCTTTTGCAGGGAGGCTTATGGGTTCAAACCACCAGGGTTTCAGTTACAAACCAAATGCCTTAACCACCGCACCACCAGAGCTCCTACCATCTAACCAGAGGTTCTCGAAGTGTGGTCTCCAGGCGGCAGCACCAGCAGCCCCTGGGTACACAGAGCTGCTCACACCTGCTGAGCCGGACACTCAGGGGGGCGTTGGAGTCTTGACACCCACAACCTCACCCCTAACAACCCCCTTCTCTGCTAGTTTCTCTCAGCTTTGTCCACCTTCTTCTTTAGGGTCCGTAATGGTCCCTGATGTTTTTCAGAGACACCGTGGGTAGGTTTTTCGGAGCATCCCCCAAATGAGGCTGTTTTTCTCCACAGCTCTGGGGTCCTTCTGCTTTCCTAGGCTTCTCTACAGCAAATGCCAGCAGGTGTTTGTGGCATCTCACTCTTGGCAGGGTTCCCTGGTTTAACCAATGGGAAGAACTTCCTTCTCTTCAGTTGAAGACTTTGCCTTAGCCCGGGCCCTCTTCCCACTGGGGAGGATGTGGGAACTGCCTTCCAGGCCTGCGGGACCGTCTTCCTGTGCTGCGCCGTTTCCCATGCTCTCACAGCTATGTGCACATCAGATGGACAGCTTGCTGCACCTGCATCTGCTGTCCCCGAAGGTGTAACTGAGGAGGGCAGGTTGTGTTAACCACCCCAGATAGGCTGATGGTGGAGTGAGACTGTCCTATTGGTGCCATCCTAAGAGGAAGAGGAGCCCTGGGTAGGGCAAACTGTTACGTGTTCAGCTGCTAACAGAAAGGTTGGAGAACACCCAGGCGGCCTTGACAGAAAGAATGGCCATGCGGTCGGTCTCCTTCTGAAAAGCCAGCCACTGTAAACTCTGTGGAACATGGTCTTCCTCCAACACGAATGGGGTGGCTATGAGTCGGGTCAACTCCTGGGCTTTCTTCTAGTTTCAATTTTCACGTTTAAATGTTTTGTCCGTTCTGGAATTTATTTTGATGAAAGCTGTGTTAGGTCCACTTCCTCTACTCAGTTGTCTCAACTCTCTTGAAGAATTCATTGTTTCCCCAATGAATTACCACCATTAGGGTGTGCTGAAATTGAATCATCCAGGCAAAGGGTGGTCTCATGGAGTCGACAACAACATATTCCACGTCGCAAAGGAGGGGAGTGCTGGCATATTGAAGGGTGAAGGGAGAACAGGGGAAATGAAGCCACAAGGTGGAGTGGGCCTTGTACCCCACACTGAGGACTGCGTTTAGATTTTTCTGTACAGAACGACTCCATGAGCCTTTGAGGATTTCAAGTAGGGGCAGTTGGAAACCCAACCCTGACATCATAGGTGAAGCTTCCTAATCCTGTTCCCAACTTAGACCTCTCCTTTTCTCCAACAATGAACTCAGGAGGTGGTCCCAGGACAGACGAGGAGGTACTGGGAAGCTGACTCAGGAAATAGCAGTGAGGGCTGGGAGTGGAGAAGCCGAAGGGCCCTGGAGGTGGGTGAGGGTGGGGCAGAGGAACAGGGCAGGCTAGGTCCCAGAGGGAATGGGGTGGTTGGAGAGGATGACCTTTGACACTGAGACTTTAGAAGTGGGCAGTGCTGTTAGTGGTCTCGTGGAGTTGTGCAGGTAGGTAGAGGCCAAGATGTCCAGGGCAACGTCTCACACTCCAGTGTACACTTAGATCCCCTAGGGGCTTGATAAAGGAGGTGAGAGAGGGGCGCGCAGCTGGAGAAAGCGGGTGGCTGAGATGGGAGAGGAACTGATAGGCCATGGTAAGGTCACTGGTGCTGAGGGAGGGGACGAGGCAGAGCGGCTGAAATTAGGGTCTTGGAAGAGAGGAGCCTCCTTCCCTTGACCTTGGGTGCACCTCCAGGGGACAGAGCCACCAAGGGACAGGCTTCTGGAATGTATTGGCCAAGGGCCAGGTCTGGTTGAATGGCTGTTCAGACCCTTTCTGTGGCCACGAACCCCTGAGAGTCTGACAGATTCTGCAAAGCCCAGGATTTGCTCGTCTGAAGAGATGCATGTATGTGCAGGCAGTGAGTGCACACATGTGCATACATTGCACACAGGCACATGTACACACATGAATGCACACACAAACACATGCACATATATACCTACACTCACGTAATGCACACATGTGCACAGGTACATAATTGGGGTTCCAGATCCCAAGCCCCGCCTCCAAGAATCTCTAGGAGGAAACAAGCAGATCTGTAGGTCTGTTTCCCTGAGGGGTGTGTGTATGTGTGTGTGTGCGCACACACGCGTGCACGTGCAAATTGAGCAAGCGGAGTATAGAGGCCCCGAGAGCCCCCCTGGAGGGCTGGGGTGCTCAGACTCTCTGTGCCTGTGCTTTGAAGGATGTTGACTTCATCCTGACTCCCACCCTGGGGCTCCTGTCACCCCACATTCCTCCTTCCTCGTGAGGCTGTGCACCTTGTGTCCCACCCGGACCCTCCGCTCTCCTGTGCCTGTGGAGCTTGCTGGAAACTAAGTCATTTTTTTCTGTGTCTTTTGCTGCCCAGTCAGATGCATCTCGCCTGTCCTGGGAAGGAGAACAGCTCCAGGGGAAGGCGGCCATCATGGGCAAGCTGATGGTACGTGGTGGGCAGGGAGGGATGGCAAGTGCCGGGCATCCCTCTCAGTGATTCCCACTCGATCTTCTAATAGCCCTGTGGGGTCAGGGCAGAGGTTCCCCTGTCAGGAACGGGGCTCTGAGACTCACAGCTCCCAGGCTTGCCCACGTGGGCTCTGCCTGCGGAGCAATTGAGCCTCCGTGCACAGCCCATCCAGGTATCTCTCCTGTGCCTACCTGTGCCATCTCTGCCCTGGGGCTCAGGAGGACAATCCCTACCTCATGGGGCAGGCGTTCCATAAAGGAAGATGCAGTGCAGGAGTGAGTGCTCTGGGGAATGTGGCCAGGGCTTTGAGGTGCCGGAGGTGTGCTATGTCCCGAGTGCTCCAGTACAGGGAGTCACACTTGCAGAGGCCAGGAGCCTGGCATGTTCAAGAAGCATCTAGAGTCTACATGGCTACACCAGAGTGAGGGTGGTGGGAATCGACTTGGAGGGCCGATGGCATTGCACAGCAGGCATGGGGCTGTGTATGGAGTGGTGGCAGGACGTGGGGTCTCTGTGTAGGCCCTCTGGCTGCTCTGTGGAGAAATGGTAAGAGGGGGTGGGTGGGGTTGGGGGCAGACAGGACACTGGTGGGGGAGCTTAGGTGGCAGAAGAGGCAGGCTAGGTTGGCTCTGGGTATGTCTTGTAGGCAGAACAACAGGATTTCCTGATGAAGAATGGGTAGCCAAGGCTTTCGGCTTGACAGGCAGGATGGTGGTGTCTCTCTGACTGGGGCAGGTTCAGTCTGGCCTCCTGTGGGCATCAGGGTGCATAGAGTGGGTATCGTAATGTCCAGACCACTGCCTGACTTCTGAATGTAAGAGATGCCCTCTGAGAAGCAGAGGTGCATGAATGACATCTTTCAGAAAGGACTAAGTGCGTCTTTAGTGACAGCCACCAGGAACAGCTTCAGAGCATGTTGTCTCTTGGGGTCATTCAGGTGCTTGAGGGACTGGACATTTGTCATTAGTGATACTTTTCAAATTACCTGCATCTTCAATGAGGCATTCAGACCGTGGACCAGTGTGGAGGGAGTTTCAGAGAGAAGGACATGTAGGAAAAGGGGAAAACTGCTTCCTGGCTCTTCAGCAAGAAGCTGCCGCTGCCAACATAGTTCCCAGTGCTGGGCCCAGGATGTGTCTGACAGGTGGATGTCAGGCTGTTTGCAGTCCCCTTCTGTAGGCAAGGAGTGGCCTGTCCCTGTGCCCGCAGTATGGGAGCCCACTTGTTGGTGAGGTCCCTGTGTAGCATGCTTGACTACAGACCTAAAGGTTGGCAGTCTGAACCCACCTGGCAGCACTGTGGAAGAAAGGCCTGGCCATCTGTTTCCATAAAAATTACAGGCAGGAAAACCCCCTGGAATCAGTTTCAGTCTCTAACATGTGGCGTCACCGTGAGTCAGAATCGATTTGATGGCAATGGGTTTAGTTTGGTTTTCCTTGCTGGTATGCCTTCCCACCTCCCTGGGGGGTCGGAAATGGGGGGTGGGCTGGATGGGTGCCCTGAAGTCAGTGGCGACTCCTAGTGACTTAGGTGACTTAGGTGAATTGCCCTACAGGCTTTCCTCTGGTGGCATAGTCCCTAAGGCATCTGACTGCTAACCAGAAGGCTGGCGGTTCAAATCCACCAGCCATTCCTGGGAAGGAAGGTTGGGCAATCTACTTACATAGTGATACTGCCTCAGAAACCCAAGGAGCAGTCACTATGAGTCAGATTTGACTTGATGGCAGTGAGTTAATGGTTAAGGGAGCAGATGTCTCAGGCGAATGTTCAGTGTTGCTCTTGTAGGGAAAGGTGCTGTGCGCTGCAGCGCACGTTGGCTGCGGTCCTTGCTGTAGGCCTCTCACTGGTTCTGTCCTAGGTGGGACCTCCTACCAGTGTGACAGTGATCTGTTAGTTTATGCTTCAAATCTTCCCCCTCCACAGCCCTGGGAGGGTCCTCGCCCCTTGCTGGGGGCTACATTCCCCCAGGGCCCTCCTATCCTGCAGGCCCTAGGTTGGTGCCGTGGCTTCAGGAGCTGATCTGGGGAGGTGACAGCCACAGACACTGTGGATGCAGGCATTGTCTCGGAGGAGGTCACCCAAACAGTAGCAAGACAGTGGGCACAGACAGCAGGTCAGAGCAGGGGGAGGGTGGGCTGGGACACAGGGCAGCTTAGATGCTGGGAGGAGGGCTGGAGGCCCTGACCCCGGCCTCTGTGTGCCTTGAGGGACCCAGTCACTCGAGGCGTGCGGTCTCTGTTGGCCTTTCCTGCAGCAGTGCCTGAAAGCCTGGTAGTTGGTGCAAACACAGGGTGCCTCTGGCTGAGATTTTGAACGTCAAGATTTTTGAAGGCTAATTTTGTCCACAACCCTCTTATGATGGGAAATACTTTTTCTTTTCACTTCCCTCTTCTTATTTTTAAGTCTGTTTTGCATCTGTACAGTCTGGGGTCTGGGAATGAAAGGCCTAGATTTCCTGTAATAGAAATAGAACAGCTTGTGTATTTCCTTGTAGCACAACTTAAATACCCTTTCTTCTAGAGTAGATCAGGGTCTGCTTATCAGGAACATACGATGTTTAGGGGGACGTTCCTGTTTGGACTGGGAACGATGGCAGAGCTGTCTCCATGGGTTATCGTGAGAACCAAAGGCATTAAGCCCTAGCATGCCTCCAGGTATGGGTAGGGACCCAGGCCCCACCCCCAAAAGGCAGGAAAGGGGGGTGGGACAACAGAGCAGAGCAGCGCCAGGGATCCAGGTAAGGAGAGGGCAAAGAGGTTTCGAACAGCTAAGAGAGACAAACTTGTCTGTCAGTGTGTTGTACTGCTGTGGCTTGCATGTTGCTGTGAGGCTTGAGGCTGTACCACCGGTGTTTCAGGTGCCGGCAGTGTTGCACATGGTACACAGGTTTCAATGCAGCTTACAGACTGAGGCAGACTAGGAAGAAGGAAGAGGCCATCCACTTCTCAAAGAATTGCCCAGGGAAAACCTTATGAATAGCAGAGAAACACTGTCTGATACATTATTAGGCAACTTTATGAATAGCCCGGAAACATTATCTGATACAGTGCAGGAGTACAAGCCCTTAGGTTAGAAGGCTTTCAAAATATGACTAGGAAAGAGCTGCATCATCAGAGTAGGACCAACCTTACTGATACGGATAGAGTAAAGCTTTTGAGACCTCCATTTGCTGACATGGCATGACTCAAATTGAGGAGAAACAGCTGCAAACATCCATTAATAACAAGAACACGGAATGCATGAAGTATTAATCTAGGAAAACTGGAAGTTGTAAAAAATGAAATGGAATGCAAAAAGATTGATATCCTTGGCCTTAGTGAGCTGAAATGGACCAGTTTGGGCCATTTTGAATCAAACGACCATGTGATCTAACTATGCTGGGAATGACAATTTGAAGAGGAATGGTGTGGCATTCATCATCACAGAGGATGTTTCAAGATCTGTCATGAAGTACAGTACTGTCAGTGATAGAATAATAACCATATGCGTACAGAGAAGACCAGTTAATAGGACTATTATTCAAATTTGTGCACCAACCACCAAAGCCAAAGATGAGGAAATTAAAGATTTTTATCAACTTCTGCAGTCTGAAATTCTTCAAACATGCAATCAAGATGTGTTAATTATCACTGGTGACTGGAATGCAAAAGTTGGAAACAAAGAAGAATCACTAGTAGTTGGAAAATTTGGCCTTGGTGACAGAAATAACACTGGAGATCGCATAATAGAATTTTGCAAGACCAATGACTTATTCATTGCA